ACTCTCAGTTCAACCCATACACGTTAATTTATAATTACACATGTAATGAACCAATTTCTTACCTCAATCCACTTGGTCCCGGACCAAGGGCAATTCACTGATTCAAGATTCGGGATTCAGGTCGACGTACGGCAACCTATACAATAACGTACATCCATCAGTACTCGTCAAATAGTATCAAAACGCAAAAACACAAAAATCCTCCCCATCCTCCCTTGATGGTTCGGCCATTGTAGTGTAAATGTGAGATTTATTTTTCTAAATTTTCTTTCTCATTTTTTTACGTCTCATTAGGTTGTCAATAGGCCGGTTCAAGTGCCGGTTCGTCATTTTCGCGTCGAATTACATCAAAACGCGAAAATCGCCAAATCACCCCTTTTCCCCTTGGAGGTTTGGCCATGTAGGTGTAAATTTGAGATTTATTTTCCTAAATTTTCTTTCTCATTTTATAACACTCCCTTAGGTTGTTTAGAGGCTAGTTCAATCGTCGTTTTTCCATTTTTCGACATTTACGCATCGTTTTGCGAAATATTTCATTCTGGGCTCATTTAGGTCTCTAACACAATTCATTTTTCTCCATTGATTCAAACACTCTCCAAGCACAACACAACCCATCTAAGCACCATATAACTACACAAATCATTATCCAATTCATTTTTCAACATCAATTCCTCAATCTTTCCTCAAAGAATCGAATTTTAACCTATGGCATTCCAAGGAATTTCCATACAACTTTAATCATTCCAACCTTCATACAACCTATTATATCATCATACCATCATGCCACAATTCATCAAACAAGTCTCAACACCAAAATTCACAAGTCCAAAATCATGATCATCAAATTTTTCTAAGTTAAATTCATCAATTTTCACCAATAAATTTCATCGCATTTCTAGCTCTAATACATCATTCTAACACATTATCATCTAATACACATTTTCAAATTGAGCTCTCTAACACAACACATCATCAAATCAAGCTTTAGGTTTCCAAAAATTCAATCACAATTAAACCATGTAAATGGGATGGAAACATACTCACAACAAAGGCTAGAAGCTAACCCAAGACTCCTCCAAGCAATGGAAGATCAAAAAGCTCCATGGACAACCATTTTTTCTCCAAAATTTCGTGGCTGTAAATGGCCAATATCTCCCCAAATACACGGTTTCAAGGCTCAAGAGTGGTACCAATGTGTTTAGAAGGTTGTTTCCAACAAATTTCAACACAAAAATCACTTGATTTGGTTAAGAAATGATCAAGTTATGGTGAAAAGAAAATTTGAATGCAAATGGGGTTTTTGGGGGAGGGGGCTGCGGGTTTCATGAAGAAGAAGGGAGGAAAGTGATGCATGAATAGTGCCAAGCACATGTGGCTTAAGTCACTTAAGTGGGGTGGGTCCCACCGCCACCTCACGCGATTTAAAACTAATCCGAATTTTCCTCCGATTCCACTAAACGTCCGTAAATTCACAACCTATTTAGAAACTCAAATTTTTAACATTAACTATTCCCCTTTAATTAGGCTTGATCAGATGAATTAAGAGTCCTCCATTCGTTCGGAGAAAACACTGTTTTAAGCTATTACGCGCGCCATTGGCACGCTTCCCCAAACTGTCTTAATTTCATCGAATATTATAAGAAATCATATTTCCTAACTCATTAGACCATTTTTAACTCATATTTGAAACCTAGAGCTCAAAATTCAACTGGCACGTTTTACGGTGCAATCGTAACGCGATATTTTTACCCGCGAAAACACTATTCACTGATTTTTCTGAAACTTGCCCATCCACTCAATTTTTCGTTCTGAACCCATTTCCAGGGTTATTTTTACCATATGAGACCTTCTACTCAATTTTTATCTTCCTAGGGTTGCGTGTTGGCTAATTACCGTTTTGCCCTTTCTTTGTATTTTGGCCAAATCTTTAGGATTTTCACTAATCCATCACTTGATTGCTCACTTAATATTTTAATTACTTGATTTAAAATCGTGAGGTGTTATACATGTTTCCCGGATGCGACATATCCAGGTATGCAATTTACGTCGTTTTGTATTTATGTAATTATTCAATACCATTCGTTGACACGTTGTAATTGCATAATTTATCACAGATCGATGCCCCTTTAATTAGTGCTCTGGTCGAGAGGTGGAGACCAGAGACACATACTTTCCACATGACATGTCAATAACATGAGCACGAATATTAACAAGAAAATAGTCCCATGCATCCAAGGTCTCGCCTTCAACGATGGCAAAAGTAATCGGTAAACATTCATCATTACCATCTGGGGCTGTGGCCACCAACAATTTGCCTTTGTACTTCCCATATAAATGTGTTCCATCAATTTGTATGACGGGTTTGGCAAATTTGAACGCCTCACAACACTGTCTAAACGTCCAAAATATGCGATTAAACACCTTTTTTCTAGTAACTAAGCTCTGCTCTGCATAAAGATCATTTGTTTGGATATGATAAAATGAACTGGAGAAAAACGAAGCATGTATTCGCACCACCTTGGCAAAAAAGCATACGATTCCTCCCAATCATCGTACATAATTGCCATCACTTTCTGCTTCGCATACCACGCCTTTCTGTAGGAAACTTTAAAACCATATTTAGAGGTTATCCTTTCTTGCACCAAAGAGATTGACACAGATGGTTCTTCCTTTATCATCCCTGCATTGAAGAGGACCCAGACTCGATAACTTCGAACGAATTTAATTACACAGCAGTACGTAAACGTTGACATGTAATACAAATAAATAAATAAATACGTACCTATGACAAGATCTGCAATAACGTCTGCATCGAGCTATCTATGTCCCTGGGAAATGTGCTCATTCAAACAATTGTGATCTCCACCCCATCTCGTAATCTTCCAATTTTCACCAAACACTGGTTTCATGGCCCTAACGCGCCATGGGCAACCCTTATCATACGCACAACATTTCATGGATAACTTTGCAGGCGTGCTCTCAATTATAATTGCTTCTTGATGCTCCCTAATGAGGTGGTGCTTAAGTGCCATTTGGACATCTTTTTTTGTTGCAAATTCTTAATTGACAAATAACTTGTCACCCAGTTGCCACGGACCTTGTATTGAACCCGATCCTGAGACCGTACCATCAGTGCATGATTCTTGTTCACTCCGATAACTCCAACCAATGTAGGAATAATGCGAAATTCCTTCCCAAAAAGGAATAACAACTTCGTCACCTGCAACTGCGGTTTGTAACTTTTTAATACAAACTTCCTAATTCAGGTATTAAATCAGGTATCTATTCAACTATATAAGCATTATTTCAATTACCTTCATGATGAATACCTAATGGGGCTGACGCAACGACATGCAACTGCACTATTTGCGCGGTAGATGGTTCATGGAATATTGGGATTTGAGACGCACCCATCTCAGCACCTTCATCTCCTTCGGAAGCACTAGCATCCTCCACAAGAAGACGTTCTTCCATTGCGATATTTTCATCGTCGTCGTCGTCGTCTTCGTCGTGCATTTCCTAAGTCGGATCATTTTCATCTCCCTCAGAATAGTTACCAACTGGAGACGCATGAGCGGCAGGCGAAGATGGAAGACGGGGAGAATTTAAATCAACTGACCTCACCGGTAAGGGAACATGCTTGATTCCGGCGATGTCGACAAACAACTCCAGAAAATCTGTCCTTGACTGGTTGAAAAATTCTTCCATTGTCATCTCCAGGTCTTCATCATCAACCACTTGCAAACTAATGTATTTATCACATTGTCATAACCTTGTCGTGATCTGAGTGATACATTGGTTGCCTTGAAGACTTAACTTCTGCCAAATTCTCTGATGCAGTTCGCCAATGGTTGCGTTGCGTTGGATACGTGTCGGCATTTTTTCTCCTTCAAACATGACACCTCGTCGACCTTCTACCTTCCTACCATTGTAATATAACACAACACGAACAGAATCAGGACGTGAACTCATTTTAAAATAGAATAAGAAATAAAATTCAAATACTAAATTAAAGAGAAGAGATATGAAGAGTGAGAGAAGAAGTGTGAAGAGTGAGAGAAGAGGTGTGAAAAGTGAATAGGGGGTGGGGGATTATATAGGATGCACAATGTGACTCCACTTTTGGGCGTCACATGTGACACCCAAAAGTGGCGTCACATTGTGCAGTACATCTGTAATTATTCCCCAAACTGTCATAAATGCGTAATTATTTAATTAAAATGCAATAAATAATTTGTTTGCCCAACTTCTTTTTCTCTCTTCACCTTTAATTTTTTTAAGTTTGATCCAACAATAATTCGAGTGATAATGAATTATTGGTAGAAAAAAGTGATAATATAAATATCCTAACTCTTAAACATTTACATAGTTAGTATATAAAATTTCACTTTCATGATTTTAATATATAATTTTATTTTTTCTTACAAAAAATGAATTTGATTATTGATTTAAAACAAATATAAATAGTCTACTAAAAAAATATAAATAAATATCATTAACTTGGTACCGTTGAAATTAATATCTAATATTTAATATATATTTACGAATTTAATTTATATGTATTGATAATTTATTCATTTATTTTTCACAAACACATACTAATAGTATATTAAAATTATGAGATGATCTACGGGACTTGTTCCACCTTTCGATTCGTGGTTAATTTTATATTTATTAAAGTTTTTTTTTTTCGTTTGGATAGTGGGAATACTCAATAAACTTCACACGCTCCAAAGAGTAATCCCAATGAATAATTAGGATCCTAAAATTGTGAAATTATGATTTATGACCCATATGGCTATATAAGTTGATTTTAATCCACACTATCATATAATATAGTTTAAAGTTGAAAATAATTATATTTTAATAGTATAATTCTAATCTATTCCTGAATTATATTAATATTTATCTAATTCCGAAAAACATTAAACCCATAAGTTAATTTAAGTTGATTCATCCATGTTCAGGGTTAACCCGAACAGCTAAACCGCCCTGTTATTGTCGTTTCTGGGTCGGGCAATCGAAACGGCGTCGTTAGGTTATTGTCATTGACGTTCGTTCATGAAACCCAAACCAAAACCCTAAGGTGGTTAATTAGGGTTTTACCTCATGTGGCGCGGAGGCAGAGCTGTTTCCAGCTGCCTCCGCCGGTTCTCGACGGCGGTGCGGCGGCGCTCGGAGGACGAAGGTGACTGGCTATACTCGTCGGAGTGGTGGGGCTCGGCCTCCGTCAACGGTGACACCGTTCTCCGATCAACATCCGGCAAGGGAAACGGCGTTGTTTCAGTCGTTGCTCATCCCTCCTCAAGACCCGTGAGTTTCTTCCACACTTTCTCAACACTTTTTCACGATTTAAATGAAGCATCTGAAAAATTCCGAAATAATTTGAAAATTCAGAGGAATTAGGTTTAAATTAAATTACAGCAATTTTAATATCTATCATTTGCAAATTTGTTTCAAATTGAATGAAAATGATCATAGATATAAGACATGTTATTGAAGTGCTGTAATTGAATTTATCTGAATTTTCAAATTCTTTTGGAATTTCTGAAATGCTTCATTCCATACAAACACAACCTTTGGAAGGTTCCTTTTTTTTTTTCTGATACCCAATTGCATTTTCTGCATGTTTTTGACAATGGAAATTGGGGATTTACATGGTTTCAGAGTAGAATGCATTGGTCAACAATGGAAAGATGGCTGCAGCAGAGGTGTGAGGAGGTGCATCCTGGATATGGTGATGGAGGGAATCTGAGGGTGCTTGGATATCAATGGCGGGTGCTTCGTTTCAATGATGTTACTCGCCAGAGCACAGCAAAAGTAATGGCTGCTTACCGCGAAAACAAGCCGGATTGTGTCTATCTTATGCAGCAACCTCATTGCTTGGCTGTTCCATGTACATCCCTTAACCATTCTCTAATGTGAATCAAATAAATAAGAGCCTGTTTGATTTAAGGAAATGATTTCTGTTTTACTCATAATTACAATTTTATATCCTTTAAAAGGACAATTACTAATCCGATTAATTTTTGAAAGCAGAAAACAAAATAAAAATAATGTGACATTTTTGTAATTATAAGTAAGAGCAGAAAATAGAAACAAAAAATTAATTTTCTTAAACTAAACAGGCCCTAATTGTAATGGGATTTTGTCTCCTAGCGTCCTAGGGTGAGTTTGTGTTTCAGTGGGTTAAGTTTTATGTGAAAATTTCTCATATCCAATTTTAAGGGAATAATGAATATCAGATTAACTGATAGGGTGACTTTTTAGCTAGTTATCACTATTATGCAATACTGTATATATTTAAATTAACTAATTTCAGGATTAAGTATTAAATTTGAGCAATCTTTGCTTGACTTGGGAAGGACTTTGAGCTCCAAAATAAATTTTATGCTGTGCTTAATCGTTGAATTGAATCAAAGGAGTCTTCTTCGGATTGCCTGTTTTATTGGCTCAGCATCTTTGTGTGTGAGGGAAATCTACTTGGTATTTGATATCTACTGTTTATAAGTCTGTTCTTCCATGCTATTTTGGGAGACAATCACTTTGTTGGTTGCCTGGTTAAATCTAGAGCTTCTGCCTACCTTTTTATGCTCTTAGATTTTCTTGCATCACTCCTCAAATAGGGATTTGTTTAATGCAAACCACTCAGTAGTTTTGGTCATTTGATACTAGTTGATATATTTTCATTATGGATTTTGATATTTTTTCCGGTCATGGGTGTTGGCTTTATTTGGTCTGCATCACCCCTAGGATACCATGGGTTTAACATTCCAACCCATGGCGCCTGTAATGGGTGCAACTCCTTAAGCTAGATTCGGATCCAAGAATCCTTAAGGAAATAAAGTTGCCCTTTTGGCCTAGTGGTTAGCACTTGATCTCACGAGTGTGTTATCAGAGCAAGGTCATGGGTTTAAATCCCCTAGGTGACATTTAGGATTTAATGAGCTTATCATCCCAGCCCATGGTGCCTGTAATTGGTGCAACCCCCGAGCTAGATGTGGTTCTGAGAATCCTTAAAGGAATAAAGTTGTGTACTTGCCATCTAAGCACTTGAAATTACAATGGAATTTATTATCAAAATTCTAAGGGTATTTTCAGTCATGATTCATGATTTTTTATTTTATGAACATCTCTGTCCTTGGAGTTGATTTTAAGTTCATGTTCAATTGAATTCCAAGTATTCTTTTGATTTATCTAGTGCCATCTTGCAGATGTGAAGAGTATGGTATCGGCTGGGTTGGCTACGATAGCCTCATGTAATTTTGATATTATCAGTGCAGTGCAAGGAAAGAAAAGTATGCACATTTTATGCATTGGGCATGGTGGGGGAAGTTTACCACTGTTTTTGGCAAGTAAAATCCAAGGTGAAAATTATTATACTTTTTATAGTTTTTTCTGGTTTGAAGTAGTAGCATGAAATGTCCAAAGTAGAAGTTATTGCTTTTGAGTGGAGAAAAAAAAAAAAAAAACCCATCCATCATGGAAATATATCTTTTATTGTGTTGTGTTTTAAATTGAGTGTGCTGTGGAAAATTACTTTAAAGGAGGATGATTAATGTTCTTTTCAACATTATCATTGGTCACCCTGATAGCCACGAGCCAGCTCCTAATAAGGAGAATAAGGTTTAGAGATCATATTCCAGGAGGAATAAACAGTAGGGGTTTAGTGGGTTAGTTAACACACTAGAGTTTAAATAACGGGAGTTGTAGTGAATAGAGGGGATTGAAAATTATAGTTTGTTAACTGAGGTTTCTCAGTTGTAAGGGTATTACCCTTGTGAGGGAGATATTATCCTTGTACAATCTCTCTCTCTCTCTCTCTTTGTAACAGAATAACAGAATTCTCATTCTCCATTTCTCTGGTTTCTTTCTTTCCCAACCATTTTCCTACAGTTCTAGTCTATTTTCACATGGGTTCCTATATCACATCCCGCAGTCTGAGGGATAACGCTTGCACACAGTTCTTGTCATTTGCGAGCTATAATGTCAATAGATTTGAAATGATAACGTTACTTGAATACATATTTACATGGGCCATGATGAATTTATTCCTTTTTCAAGCATCCCTCCTTTTGTAGCCTGATTCTTGGTCTGGGCAAAGCTAAGTCACTTAAAACAATGGCTACTTCTATTGCATGCTTGTTTATTTGACGTGCTTTTGGGAATTACTTTATGATTTTCTTCCTTGTTCACTTGTGTTGACAAATTTCTGGTTGTAAATGATCCTTATAAACCTTGCTTAATTTGCTGTGCTCTTTCCAGGTGCCATTGTCCATATAGTTGAAATTGATCCCCTTGTTATCTCAGCCTCAATTCGTGCTATGGGGTTCCCGGCTTTCACTCTCATGACCCAATCAGGTGACCACGCCGTTGCAAAACCTGATATCATTAATGAAATTATGTGGAAAGGCATCCATGAGAGGATACACCTTTATGAAGCAGATGCTGAGAAATTTATTATTAATAATACCAATCTGTATGATATGATCTTTATTGATGCCTATGATGGTGATGACATATTTCCCCACAAGTTATGGAATCAAGATTGTCCATTCCTTAGAGCCCTTAGTAGTCGACTTCATCCCAAACATGGCACTGTTGTGGTGAACCTGCATTCTGACTCTGATATCTTGAACCATGATGGATCTGTTCCCTCTGTGCTTGAGCAAGTTTTGCCAATGGGAAAGTATGTGTCTCAAGTTTGCCGGGCATACAAAGATGTGCTTGTAGGAACTGGAAGCTCTTGTGAAGAAAAAGGAGTTTCTGGCCTTGCTTATACTGTTGCAGTTCCTTGGGTCTGTAATACTTCCCTGATTGTGTGTAGAGGTTTTGGTATAGATAGTGAGTATATTAACCAGGACTTGGTTATTAACACACTCATTTCCAAATCCCTTGAAGTGGAACATGTTATGGATTTGCCATTCTCATGTTTAGAATACATAAAAAGAGGTTTTATTCTTGTTGATTAATTTGTTTATCACGATGACAATGGTCATCAGCATTCAGTAAGTTCTAAATCAATCTCATTTGCTATGAAACTTGTTCTCTTGTATGCTCCATTGTCAATGGAAACATATTTCAACTGGGTCCATTTCTTTATTAAGTAACAGAAGCCATTAGCCCCAAAGAAAAAAAGGTGTCTTGAACCTTACAATGAATAAAGGTAATTGACACATTTATACACCAGAAAAGAAAAGGCTTCTTGCCCTGTTTCGCCATCAATTCACAGAGAGGAGAGTAAATGCTCCCCCTGCTCACTTTAATTACTAATTCTTGATATGTGAATAAATGGTTGAAATCTTCTATATGATATAGACATATGAAAACAAGATAGGAGAGAATTTATTTCCTAATAAAAGTACTGTGGTTTGTGTACGCGTAAAGTTAGATTAGATTAGATTAGATTAGATTAGATTAGCTTAACTTACAGACTTAAAATCCAAACAAAATATAGAATATCAACCTAAAAATTCCAAATTAAAAGTAAAAACATACCAATCAGTGACCCAACCACGGTTGTAATAGAAACTCATCCTCAAACATACACGCCGTAGTCCCTCCCTCACGTGACTACCCTATAAAGCATTGAATTTGGCAAGCTATTATCTTGGTTAATCCTCTCCTTTCCCTAACATTAAACTGAAAGCGAATAGTTAAATTTCTTAGGGCGCACAAAATAGACAGAAGAATTTTGTTTTCGTTTAATTATCATTTTGGGGTTGAATGTATTCTTCCATAACCTTTTATTATAAGCCGGTACTATGTTTTAATATCACTTTAGGGAAATATTTTACTAATTTTGGTAATATTCTATTTATTTTGGCAAACATCGGAGCAGAGGTGCAAAAAGAAAGGAAAAAAAGTGTGACAAATCAAATCTGAGAGAGAGTAGCGTTACAAAAATAAAAATAAAAATATGAGAGTAACAACAACATGGCCTAGTACCAATACAAGACTCAACTTGCCGAATTGCATTAGAAGAGTCACCTCTATTGTAAAAGACCATCCCAAACTTGTGCTGGGAACACAGCAATATCTCCCAAGTCCAAAAGAATACCCACCAGCCAATTACCCCAACCATAAGATATCCATCCCCCACATTCATGCTTTTTCCTTGGTCTAGGATAATAGACCCCAACTAGCGAGAGTAAAAATGAGGGCAATTTTCGAATTTTAACACATGATTATTCAGTCATTGTTTGTTTGATGTTCCTGTCTCGTACTAGGAAAAACAAATTCTTATTCTATTAGCCAAATAGTTGGAAATATGAATCAGAAATGGTATGAGGCTGAGTACCCCAAATAAATTCTTAATTTCTGCCTACCCTTCTCTCTCATATATTCCCACGACCTCTCCTCTTCCTCTCACTGCCACATCAGCATTTTGTTCTGCTGCAGCCCATTCACATGAACATTCTCAATATTCCCCATATTGTCCTTTATGCAACAAAATATTGTATAAATTTATAAATTTAGATAGTGGATTTTCTCATGTTAAAATTTCACATGACCTGTAAAATTTTTGTATTAATCTTTTTCTTCACATATATTAAATAAATGAAATCCAATAATCATTAATAAAGAAAGAGATAGATACAAAAATTTTACACTGAGTCCTATGAAATTTTAACATGAAAGAACCAATTCCCTTAAATTTATAATACGCAACCATGAAGGCCCTAGTATTCAAAAGTCTTATTATACACCAAATTATAGAGACATAAGACAGCACTGTTAAATGTACTGTCAGATTAACATTGAAATGTGTTGTGCTGACTATATTTATGAAGTACGGGCCATATCTAACATTATAAGGAGGCCAACTGTTAGAAAAATTAAACTCTCCTCCATTTAACTCTAGACATAAAAAAGGATAAACCTGGGTGCAAAAGCCTCCTTGACTTACGAGCATAGTTGTTGTTTCCCATATTCGACGTCGTGAGATTCCAATTACAATGAACAATTACCACAACTTCATTTAACTCTAGACATATAATTGAAAATTTGAATCATTGTGCTCTGGAATGAATTTTCAGGCTTCATGCGTCCAAGAGAAAAGCTTCACACACAACAGTAAGAAGGGATAAAGTAGCACGATCCACTCAAACGTTAATTCGCTAAAGAGGTGAAATGTTTTACAATATCTATAAACAGTTACTAAAGCAGTGAAGCACACCACCTGAAACAATTATTAGACAACAGGCCAAGATGCCAGGTGAGGTGAACACAGAAGCTAGATTTTTCACACCCAAAAGCTAGAATAACAAGATGGGATAATACAAGATAGTAGAACGAAAAAAAATCAAAAAAGACAAAAATTGAATCACTCTATCTACTGTTCATTGCGGGATTGCAAATTAAAGCACGTACACTTATCTTTCATGGCTTCACCCTCACTTCCATACTCTTTAAATCTGTACTCTTCCTGCTTAAATGTTGAAGGCACCTTTCCCTCACTATAGCATTGATTACACAAACTAAAATGAGATTTTAACTCCTTAAAGCGTGAACCAATAATGGGATAGCGACAAACTGAGCACACAGTGTTGCCATGTCGGTTTCTATCCCCTGTCTCAAGCTTCACTAGAGTAGGCATGATACCAAAACCCCAATCTGGATCATCAAACATAACTAGAAACTCGGAGAAAGACACCATTGAAGTGTCTGAGTCACCGCGAACTTCCATTAATTCACTTACCCCTTGTGAAGGAACATAAATAGCCCTTAAAAACTTGATGTATAAAGTAGCATCAACTTTCTTAATATTAGCACCGTCTTCATTCATAGGACGCCATAAAAGTGCATCAAAGGCAACCCTTTTGCGTCTCTCCAGAGGACCGCCACAAATAGGAGCAAGAATAGCATAAAACATTCCCAGATCCACCCTTCCTGAACCAGTTTCATCTAAAACAGAAAGAATCCTTTCATTTATGGCTTTCACAGCTCCTTGAAATGTCTCAGGCTTTAAAAAGCTAAGTAATCTGCGAAGAATTTCTTCCAAATTTGGCTTTCGGATGGATTTTTCAGGAACTCCGCTACCAGAATAGGACACAGGCACATCATGTTCGCTCATTTCCTTCTTCAAAAGCTCCACGCTGCAACGACTCAACCTAGTAACCCTCTGAAGTGCTCTGATCTGTAGGGCACTGGCCAGTTCCTGCCTCATGGTAGTCTTTTCTCCAACTATCTTAAACTTGGATGGTTCAACAATAATAAATGCTGCTTCCCCAGGAATACCCACATTAGCTTTGGTCTTCTTTTTTTGCAGCTGCTTCAAATGCGATATAGCATCATACAGTTCAACCCTATTTGTCATTTTCAATGCTTCCTTCAAGGCTCTTTTGGCTTCTTCAGTCTCCCCAGCTCCAAGCAACGACACCGCCTTGTTCAGCTGTGCCCTCCAATGGATTGGCCACACACCTAAAACCCTAGTATACATCTCAGAAGCCCTCTGAAACCTACCCAGGTCCATATAAAGCCCACCTAAATTGTAAAGAGCATCCACATGACCAGGTTTTAAATCAATAGCTTTCTGAAACACCTCGATTGCCCTCTCATCCTCACCCATGGCATGCAAAGCTGAAGCCAAATCGCAATGCGCATCCGCATAATCAGGCTTCATGAAAATAGCTTCCTCCAGTGCCTTCACAGCGGCCCTATATTCCCCTACGCCAAAAAGTGCACTACCTAAAAGTTTCAATGCTCTAAAATGTGTTGGACAAAGAATTGCAGCTTCCCTATAGTACTCACAGGCACTCAAAACCATACCTTCACCTTCAAGGGCTATGCCAAGGTTGACATAAATCTGTGGAAGCAAATAAGCCCATTGGTTTCCACCAGCCTCCGCAGATTCAAGTGCCAACAAGAACTCTTCCTTGGCCTCCTTGTACTTTCCCAAAATATACAAACAATTCCCAGCTCTAAAATGTGGCCTAACATCAACAGGTTGCAACTCACAAGCCCTCTTAAAACTGATCAAAGCATCCTTAAACAACTGATTCTCATACAAAAACCTACCAATTGCCATATGTCCATCAAAAGCCTCTTCTCTTGACCTAGCAGCATCAGCCCTGCCTCTTAAACCACCCAATTCCTTCACAAAAACTGCATAATCAGGTCCACTCTCATCCGTTAACACCCGAATTTCAGTCGAGGGACCCAATTCCCTCGACCAAGCAGCATCCGAATACGCATCAAAGTTATTATCAGCCTTCAATTTTCCATCTTTACCTTGCTTAGACTTAAGCCTATTCACCAAAATCTCCAAATCATCCACAATCTTCCACGTCTCATCAAAAACGATGCCGTGATTCGGCGACACCGCCCATGCCGCCGTCCTCTGCTTCTTCTGCGTCTCCACCGCCATCCTCTCGTCCACAATCGACGAAGAAGAAGCCTCCGATGCCGCCGCCAGAGACCCTTTCGCGGCGCCATCGTCGATGTTCAGCTCCAACCCGAGGGCGTCGAAATCCCTGTCAACATCGCCGGCGCCGTCGTCGTAGGTTCGCAAGAGACCCTCGTAGGTGAGGCCTCTTTCACCATCGATGAACTCGCCGTAGGTTCGGAACACCTCATCGAGAATGGCGTTGATTTGTTCGTCGCTGAACTTCACCCTAGGGTTCACCGCTCCAACCAGCGAAGCCATCTCTTCCCTGTTCAAACCCCCATCACGATTCGCGTCGAATTGCTGGAAAATTCTCCGAACCTTCTCCGATCTGGTGCCTCTCGTCGCCATTTTCGCCCTCAAAATCGAAACTTGATGATGTTGGTGATGATGGGTCGGAGTGGGAAAGAAATACAAACCCTAATTTTTTTTAAGGGTTTGAAATTGGAACCCTAATAAATTATTTTAGGATCATTAGGAGTAGGATTTGGGGTTCAACTTTAAAATTGTCATTTGTTGTTGATGATAATGATGATGGGTGGTGGGTGTTGTGTATGTGTGTTTGTGGGATTGTGATAACTCGAAAGGAAAGGGACCATTTCAAAAGGGCATAATTTTAAAGGGTTTGAAATTGGAACCCTAGATTGTTTTTAGAATCTTTGTTGAAGGATTTGGTGTTGGGGTTGGACTGAAAATTGTTAATTGGTAATTGTTGTTGCTGTTAATGATGAATAATGATGATGGGTAGTTGTGAGTGGAAGCTAAAAGGAAGGGACAAATTCAAAAGGCTATAATTTTTTTGGGTTTGAAAATTGAGTTCCTGAATTGTTTTTGGAATCATTAGAATTTGATTTGGGATTTACAGTTTGTACATTAGCTGTTAATCCTTATTATTGCTTTCCATAATATGATTGTCAATCCCAGCTTGGATAAAAGCCAAAAAGTACTCTCCTATTCTCTCTCTCTCTCTCTCTCTCAATTTCATTTTTTTTTTCTTTTTTATATCTCTCTATCAATTTCATTTTTTTCTTCTTTTTTATATTTATGTGATTATATTGTCTATCTTTGATGAAGGGTGGGATCGGTAATACATTTATGCATGCTTTCGTGTACAAATAAAATAATAAAGTCATTAAATTTTAGTTGACGCCAATTATACTATTATTTTAATTGAGTATAATAATTTTTCGGACATTAAATATATCTTTGGTGAGTCAAAATGTCTCGTTTTGGGTTATAAAAAAATATAATTATAAAAATTAATATAATTTTGAAATAAATTAAAATTATAAAAATATTTTTTTTATATTAAAATAACATTATTTTGAGTCAATAAAAGTAAATCATCAGTTGTGATTGGAAAAACATTAAATTTATTTTAATATAATAGTTTTTTTATAAAATATTAAATGCAATGGTCTTCGTCTTTGTATATAAAATTTGTTATCCAAATACTTGGGTGTATTTTAAATTAGTTTATTTTATTCGCAATGTTATTATAGTTTTTCATAATGTGATTGTCAACACGAACTCAGAGAAAAAGAAGCAGTACTTTCCCACTCTTTCTCTATCAATTCCGAATTTGTTTTTATTTACTTTCTTTTGTGATTTATGTATATTGCTGGAGTTTGAACGGTGAGGATTATTGGATTAATCAGTTTAGTTAACTAATGATCGTTGTAGGCAATACAAAAATAGTTATAATTTTTTTCAGTTTACTACACTTATAGCATTATTCAAATATAATAGCTTTATAGAAAATAATAATAATAATAATAAATGCAATAGTATTTTGTGTTTGGACTTTGTATATGAAAAGGAAAGGAATCATAGAAGAAAAGAAACAGCACTCTCCCATTCTCTCTCTATCAATTTCATTTTCTCCCTTTTTATTTACTTATGTCATAATATTGGTGAATGGTTGATGAACGCCAACGGTGGGAACTAATTAGTTAACTTAAGTTAACTACTGAACCATAGGGATTAATTAGTTAAATTAAGTTACCTAATGATTGTTATAGGTAATACAACTGTCATGCATTCTTTCGTGTACAAAATAAAATAATTAAATCACTCCCTATTCAATTCACACTAGTGAAGATGGGTGAGGAAAATCCTTATAAATAATTTTATACTTGTATATTTATTAGAAGATTGTTTCGTGTACAATAAAATAATTAAATTATAAAAACTTATTTTACACCACTTATTGTATTATTTTATTTTTATTTTTTTTGGTAGGAACTTATTGTATTATTTTAATATAAAGTTTTGTTGCAAATGTATTCTTTGTTTTTGTATATAAAATTTATTATTCATCCTACCAAATATTTAGGGTATATTTTAAATTAGTTCATTTTATTCTTAAAATAAAGTTTATATGTACATTTAAAAATGGTTACATTCCTTATGTAAAAAAACATTGAGAATTGAATTCAACTCTTAATCAGATAAACGATATTAAAATTAAATTTGGTAACATATTATATTAAAAAATAAATAATTATTAAAATAAATATTTACATGTTTAGTGGTGAGATTATGTCATCGTGAAAAGTCTCGAGCAAACACTGAGAATAAGTAGGATAGTGCTAAGGGCCAATGGCTTTATGATTATTTTGATAGAGTAATAACTCATAAACGAGTATATTCAAGGTGCCTATTCAATGGCTTAAGAGGAGATATTTATAGGAGGGAAATATTCTCTAATCATAAGTGTGAGAGAGCCATAACTATTTTACCTAACAGGCTCTACTGTGTGTGAGTGAGGCAAAGTCACTATACATGAGGTGTGAGGCGTGCAAGTGCAAGGGAGTGAGATCTTTTACCATGAGGATTTAAAAATATCATCTTATGAATGCAGGGAGTGATCCCTTAAATGGGTCTTAGTGGCTGGTCCATTGGAGTGGACCAATGTGACCGGTCAAGAACAATACATTTAATACAAGAATGTGAAAATAAAGAGAAAAATTAAGATAGTAGAGAATACTACACTATTGTAAGAAAAGTGTATGTATATTTGCAAGAAAAGTGTTACAAAGAAGTAACTACACTAGTCTAATTAATTCACATATCAATAACTAATTATAACCGTAGCATAATTGGTTAGCTTATGTTACTTTTAGTTTGATATTATGCTAACATTGAGAATTTGTTAGAGTTTGAATAAAAAGGATTCAAGTCATCTAAGTATATAATTTTATTCTAATTTCAACATCAAAATTTATATATATGAAAAAAAATTATTATACTCCCAAAAAAAGTCGTATTTATTGACGGACATAAATCGGTCTAAAATATCAAAGAAAATTAGGATGAAATATCACTTCACTTATTTTTTATTACATTATTGACGAAAATTTCCATGTTTAATTTCGTCGATAATTTTGAAGAACCTTACTCATCGTTTTGATATAAGTTGTTCTGACAAATTTGTTGACAGATATAGATTCTGTCAAACTTATTCCGTCAAAATGATGTAAAAAACCTGACCATGATTTTTCGATGGATTAAGTTCCATCGAATATGTTAAATGTTGTAAATTTTGTTGAAACCATTTACTAAATTATCCCCAATTAAAATCAAATCATAAGAATACATGACACAAAAGCTTACTTAATTTAATTCACACGATGCATAAATATTAACTTAAGTCATGGGTTTGGAGTGTGTTATATTCATTTACCATCCTATTGCCACATGCAATTAATACCAAATTATACAGTAACTTTACTCTCTTTTATTCAAAAAAATGATCCAGTAGCACCGCCAAATGAAGTAAATATTAATTTTATATGTTAAGCTACAATCAAAAATCTCAATTAATGCAAAATATATTTAATTGCATTTAATCCATTGTCACGATGCAATACACTGCAATCAATGAGCCTACGAACATTGCAACAACGTTTATATAATGCAAAAAACCAATGACCGTGAACTAGTCATAGATGTGCAAATTAAATAAAATATTGAAGAACCATATAGCCAAATGAAATATGAAACCAATTTCACTAAATCCAAAATGTAAAATGTGAAAACCCACTAAAATATCCCAAAAAGGACAAAGTTTATTAATTATGGGACCTACCCATGTGAACATATTTCACAAAAGTATGAAAAAATTAAAATGTTTTTCACTTATTTCACTAAAATCAAAACCAAAGGTCCAATAATTTAGAGGCCCAAATCAAATGTGAAGTCTAAATTATGAAAAATAATATGTTAGCCAAAATGAATATTGAAACTTTAGTGATTAAAGCCTAACAACAATGTCAGTAGCCCACTTCATGTAATATCACTAATAACAATAATTAGGCAAATAGAAAAAGGCAAAGCAATAAAGATTTGCACATATAGTACTGTGTAGAGGATGCCAATTTCTACCATAAAATCAGCATTTAAGATTATTCAAATATAAAATAATACGAAAGTAAAGGGCATGACTTTAGTACTTTAAGCTCATATATACAAAGCATTAGCAATTAATGGGTGAGTGGCATAACTATACAAAGGAAATAATAGTGTAACAGTAATACATTAACTAAAGTCATGAAAATCGAAAATCCAGTCAAAACATTCAACATGGAATTTCATAACTTAAATAGTATTAAGATTAAAAAAAATAAAAATGTAGAGATTCAATCAAAAGTTTCAACCCACGTTGAAAAGAGAGACCCAATCCAATAATAATCCATCAAATTCACTATAGCAGACCACAAATATATCTGAAATCCAGTTCTTGAATATCACGGAACCAAGTGTTTCACCGAAAATCAAATGTGAAACAATAATAGTCTAAATGGATTTCAGAGTGACATGAAAATGAAGGTAACAGTGTTACTATTTAAAATTGTTTTCTCGGAAACCAAAATCCAATTCTGAAAACTAAAATACGAAATAATAAATCATATAGAATCCAAAAGTGAAATCCACTAAAAACAAAACACAATGCAATAGTGGGAAAATCACTACTTAAATTATCAAAAATCGCCAATTTCAAAACCCAAAAGATCATGCTTAATTCAACTCTCAACAATATGTTAGCAAGGATACTAAATAAAATTGAATTAATTAAAAATCTTATATACAATACTATACAAACCAAAATATGATACCATTGAAACGTGGAACCTACACTTGAAACAAAAGTGAAACTATTCAAGTGGAACTAGTGTCATACACAAAATTAATAACAATAAACAATTGAAACTTTAATAAATTAATTAAAGCCTAGCAAAGTGAGAACCAATTTAGATAGAATAACATTAATAGAAGTACATGTTGCTAATAATGATACAAAAATCACACTAACATGATAATTATATCAATTGTAATAATACGGAATCATGAATTAAAAAAGAAAATATCAATTGTGAAGCTTGGAAATGTGAACTTCATTTTTCTAAAACTATTGACTAAAAAACAAAATAACTTCATGCTTCTAAAACTATTCACCATAAGCAAAGTTTCACTAAAACCAAATTTTGAGATGCAACAGTAAAATATTCAATAAATAATTCACCAATATCAAAAAATGAGATCCAAATATTAAGACATGCTCAGTTGTCCACGCAATAGCAAAGAGAATAAACTAAATATCACAAAGGTGATTCATGATAGTCGAAAAATGACATCACATGAAAATTAACATTGAATGTACTAGGCGATATTATAATATTAGAAATATAGGATGAGAAGAAAATGCACCAAATGAAACATATCTATGTATTTTAAAAATGGGCTTTATGGTTATTATGTAACAGGAAAAAGAAAGTCGCTCATGTTACACATAACGACATCGTTTTACTCTTTTTATAAAACCCCTTTATTTTTCCTTTCTTCTCCTACGGAAGACGAGCTCACATTCACCACTGTTTCGCTCCACCATGGTCGCGCTCCACAACCACCGCTCCACCACCAAAATCCCAATGTAAGTTCATCACTGAATCTTATTTTTTTTGTTGGGTGTCTTGCATTAAAAGAGTTGAGGCTGAAATAAACTTATTTTGTTAGGTTATATGAAGCACAACCTCTGGATTCAGAACTCATTTTGTGGTTAGTATCACCATTTATAATCCATTTTGTATTTGGCTTTCTAACTGTCATCAGAAATATACTTTGTGTACTGTTTTTTAGGCACCTGCATGGTTAAATAAAAATTATATAGCAGCTTCGATATGCTGAGCCTCCCTTGAGCACTTTACTCTTCCAACATTAAATATGTGTTTTACATGTTGCTTCGCAGTCATAGGTAAAAAAATGAGAAAATATCTTTTTTTTTTTTGCTTCTTATTTCCAGAAGGGGAATCATCTGATTCTGGCCTAAACAAGTGAAAGTGTACATGTTCTTCTTTCCAAGGGAATCTGAGATACTATCTTTCTAATTGTTCTAAGTCATGTGATTGCCATTCAGGTATATTGTAAATTTTTTATTGGCATGAAGAATAATAAGAGTCTTTTGGTGATAAAAAAAACTAGTATTTTTTTATTGTTGTTCAAGTATACTGGTATTTTTTTTTGTAATAACTGGTAATTTTTTATTGGCATGAAGAACAAGAGTCTTTTGGTGATAAAAATTCAAGGTAACTCCTGATCTATAATTTTTTGTGATTTTCTATTTAAACTTGATGAAAAATTTGTGAAGTTTCATTTATAGATGGAAGTTGCAAGAGAGAAGCAAAAAGAACAGTAGCGATTGCACATATTTTCATGGTTTTATTTTGGTAAGAACTTATTTTTGATTAAAAAATTTCATGATTATATACTTAATGCTTTTTTACTTATTTTTCAGGAAATATTTTGGGGCACTATTGGTTTCATTTGTACATGGAAAAGTTAATACTAGAATTTCGCAACCTTTTTGTAAGGCACTATTGGTTGGCAAAGTAAATACCAGAAGCATTGTTGGATTCAATTATATCTGGAGAAGTTTTTTTGTGTATATCAATCACTGTGATCAAGCTATACAGGGATATGAGTTTTTTGTGATTTTCATTAGATTTGATAATCAAATGTAAAGTCAATTGAATAACTTATTTTTTATGAACCATTTTCATGATTATATACTTAATACTCTTTTTACTTATTTTTCAGGAAATATTTTGGAGCACTGCTGGTTTGTATATGGACAAGTTAATACCAGAATTTTGCAATCTTTTTGTAGGGCACTGTTGGTTGGAGAAGTAACTACTTCCAGAAGCACTGTGGGTTTCAATTGTATCTAGAGAAGTTTTTTGTATATATCAATCACTGTGATCAAGTGTAAAGGGATATGAGTTTTTTGTGATTTTCATTAGATTTGATAATCAAATGTAAAGTCAACTGCTGATTTCTTTTTTTGTACAAAAGAACTTCAATGTGTACATGAAGTGTAATATATCAAAGTTAGAAATGAATGCGGTTGCTCAAATTATATTTGCTCGCATTGAAATTGCTATCAATTATGCCCAAAATGAGCTATAGTGTAATACAATTACAAAAGTCATTATACATATCTTAACAATTAGCTACATCTATTTGTTTAGCCTAAAAATGGCATTAAATAATTACAACTTTTCAAATCATCTACGAAAACTTTGGTTGATGATCTGGAATTGGCAATCACCATCCACTGCTCTATTATCAAGTAAAACCATGCTGCAATTCTTCACATGATCAAGCTATACATTATCCAGAGTCTGTAGAGGGAAAAGTCATCAACATGTGTGTTCTGTCAATTGCACCACAACAATTACAAAGGCCATGTAAATTCTCAAACTTGGACTTTATCACTTCCATGGTTTTTTCAGTTGAAGGCCAACAAGAGTATACTATATATCACAACCTCAGTAAAATCAGAGTCTACTTCCGGCCTTCCTTGATGTTTTGGGCTCTTGACTGCCACATTACTTCCATCTTTCAGTGGCATAACAATCCCACAAAAGAATACAGTGAGAATGCCACTCAGATAACATAACTACATACTAAAGTTATTTAAAACGTACTTCAGCCAGCATGTAGGAGAGGTATGCCATTAGCATCATAAGAGCAACTTCACGATCTGTAGAGTGCCTGAAATTAAGGAGAAAATTGTTGAACCTCAATAAAGAATTGTATCATCCAGTGCCAAGTCTAAAGAATCTCGTGCTCAAGATAGAAAAACAAGAACTGACAGATAGACACAGGGAAAGACAACAAGTTGTTAAAAAATTATACTGAACTAATATAACTTTTTTATCCTAAAAAGGAAGAAAGAAATTGAGACAATAGAAAATCATAACAATTCATACCAAAACAAGAATTTTGGGAGTACATCCTTATATTTTATACTAGAAACCCATGCCTAACTAGTTCATGCAATTTAATCTTTATCGGTATCTCTTCATCAAGTTATTTGATTAAATTTATTCCCTTTTATGCATTATGAAATCATTTATAAAACCCTCATTAAAAAGTTAATGAACACGGTTATTCTGGCTTCAACCTGGAATGAACTTATGAACTAGTTAAGATAGATGGTTACTTCTAAGTTCAAAAAAATAAAAAATAAGTTCAGTATAATCGTCATAAACATTTTCAAGCTAACAAATAATACATAAAATTGAGATAAGCAGGAACACTATTTATTATCATAGATATGTCTACAACTTTAGTTTTACAATGAATTAACTGCCTATATACAATATAAAACAATGAAATAACATCATAGTTACTGAAGTGACAAAGGAAATGGAAAGGTTTGGAGTTTACATATAAAATTGGACAGGTTGAAACAAATACACTTTATCTAATAAATTAGCCTTTGAGAATGGTGAATATAAAGAATTGCGGCCACATCAACTACATTTTCCCGCAATTGTCCACAATTTCTATAATTGCAATGCAAATCCAATTTAAATTCAAAGACAAATATCTTACATATGTAAATATACATTTTCGTTCTGTACATAATAGTAACTGGTTTAACATTAGTCCATCTAATTCAGTTTTGTGAAACACCAATTAGTGAACTTTCAAGATGGAAGTAAGTGAAAGAAGGAGAGATACCTCAGTTGCACTTGCAGGCATTAAAGCAATAAAGGTTATAGCCATTTGTTGTCACTTTAGGAAACCCATTTGGATCACATATGCATATCCATATGGATGCACCTTCTTCATCGCCCATCAATTAGTGATTTTACAACATTACATTTGTAGAATCAAGCTTGACCCATACCTACAGATTGAAACTTATTAATAGAGAGGTAAATTTTTTGAATTTTAATGAATTTTAGTTACAAGTCAATTTGCAAAAATACATTCATTACATACAGAGCTCTACTTAAATAATCAATTGAAGAAGAAAGAAGATAAAAAAAAGAAAGGGAAAAAATATATCACCAAAAGACTCCTATTCTTCATGCCAATAAAAATTTACAATATACCTGAATGGCAATCACATGACTTAGAACAATTAGCAAGATAGTATCTCAGATTCCCTTTGAAAGAAGAACATGTACACTTCCACTTGTTTAGGGCAGAATAAGATTATTCCCCTGTTGGAAACAAGAAGCAAAAAAAATAAAAAGAAATTATGGGCTTTATATACAGAGGCTCAGCATATCGAACCTGCTATATAATTTTTATTTAACCATGCAGGTGCCTAAAAAACAGTACACAAAGTATATTTCTGATGACAGTTAGAAAGCCAAATACAAAATGGATTATAAATGGTGATACTAACCACAAAATGAGTTCTAAATCCAGAGGTTGTGCTTCATAAAACCTAACAAAATAAGTTTATTTCAGCCTCAACTCTTTTAATGCAAGACACCCAACAAAAAAAATAAGATTCAGTGATGAACTTACATTGGGATTTTGGTGGTGGAGCGGTGGTTGTGGAGTGCGACCATGGTGGAGCGAAACAGTGTGTATGTGAGCTCGTCTCCCGTAGGACGAAGAAAGGAGAAATAAAGGGGTTTTATAAAAGAGTAAAACGATGTCGTTCTGTGTAACATGAGCGACTTTCTTTTTCCTGTTACATAATATACATAAAGCCCTTTAAAAATACTAAAATCATCAATTTTCAAACTATTCGTTTAACGAACATTCCAAATGAGTATTTTAGGTCGGGGGCATCAAAGTTGGGATGCTTCTGGTCGAACCTGTGATGCACTCACATCAGCCTGACTTCCTACCCCTTCACAGTTTACTTGGAGGTTACGTTTGTCCACATGTCGCATTTCGGTTGTTGGTTCATGCATTGAGGTGTGCATGTCGCCCTTGCGCTTCGCACATAATGATGATCTACATTTAATGCTTCAGTGGGGAAATTCCATTTTTGACCCTGGCATTTCATCTTCGCACCCAAATAACTATTCATTGCCCTTTCATTTTGTTTCATTTCTTCGTTCTTGGCATCACATTTTCCTCTATAACCGTTTTGTGTTTTCTTCACTCGAAACTTTGACAAGGAGTTATGAGTTCTTTCTTTGCTTATCATCGTCCCCCCCCCCCCAAACAGGTATTCTCAAGTACACATTTCCCTCTTATGTTGTCTACTAGTGTTTCCCACTGCGAGTTCGTTTCTGTTTTCTGCACATGTTTTTTTTTCTATGCCTAATTCAAGGAGCTATTGAGTTTTCTTGGTGCCTTTTTCAAAGTTTTAGGGCTCTAGTGTTTAGTAGCCTCTTCCCCTTCCTTTTTGGAGTGAGAACAATAGGGATCTTTAATCACTTGGCTTGTTAAAGGGGGTGAGTGACTTCCTTGGTTTAAGTAAATAAGTTGTATTCAAGGTTCTGGTATGGAACCAAACCGGGCTGGAGATAGTCGAGATCCAGCTAAGGAAAATGACTGGGTACAGAGATTTCCCAAAGGAGCTCGTTTTTGGTTTTGGGGGAAGACGGTATAGAGGAGGAGAAACTATAGTTGCTTTTTCGTGGTTATTGAGGCAGAGGAAGTAAAAGGAGGTTTTTGATATTTATGTTCCATTGAATATATATATATATTTTGTTGATGTTAGGCCACATTTTAGGCAGAGAAAGTAAATTGTTGTATTCAAGATTTTTGATATTTATATTCTATTGAATATATATATATATATATATTTTATAGTCTTTATTCTTATTATTTTTTATTATTATTAAGGATTATACCCTATGTATTCTATTTTTTAATTTAATATTTTTCTTTTCAATTACGTATTGCGTAGACATTTTTTCTTTTTTATATTCCATTCTATGCGTTAGGGTATATGTGTTAGGTTAAAAAATTCCTCTCTTTACCCTCTCACTCTCATTTTCACTGATCTCATTTCACTGCATCCCTCCAATTTTTCCTCCCACTCATATTTCCCTCCTTTGAGAAGAGAGTTCCCTCCTTTTACTCTCCAATGTTTGGCTCCTCCTAGTTCCTTGCGGTCTCTCCTGCCTTCAAGTGGGTCTCTCAGGTGGTCTCCTTTTGGTTCCTTACGGTCTCTCCGGTGGTCCGTCCGGCGCTCACCTCTTCCAAGGTGCGTTCTTTTTTTGTCCATTTTCATAGCTCACCTCTTCACCCCAATATCTGATTCTTTTTCACTTTTCCTCTCTGCAAGGTGCGTTCTTTTTCACTTTCGGTTCACCTCTCTTCGCACTCCCAGTGTCCCGTGGCGGTGACCCATTCTCAACCAATTGATACTGGTAGCTTTCAAATTTCTCAACCACCAAGTCCATATTGAATGCTCCAGGTAATCTTCGTTCTTAATTTCTCAACTGTCTTTCTGGCATTATGTTCATTAATGGCGATGCCGGAGGAAGAAAGCCCTTCTTGGGTTACGCACCGCCCGCCATTGTTCTAGTTTAGGAATCTCTTCGTATTCTCTTGTTTGATTCCGTTCTTATTTATTCTTTTCTGGGGATTTGTTTGTTTTTAATGCTCTTTTTTAATAAATTATTTGTTAGAATTGGTCTTTGTAATTACCACTGTTTCTTGGGATTCATGAATATTTTCTAATCAGATGTCTTTGTTCCAATGCTAATTCTGTTTTTTTTTTGTTTTAAATTTCTCCAACATCTTGTTTGTGTTTTTTTTTCTTCTTTCTTTTTTCCGGGGATTAACCTTGTGTACCTAATACAATGTCGAAACCATTAATCTCTAGGATGTAGAAATCCACCATAAATTTTATATATATTACAAAATTTCCAGATGCAGACAGTTACGACCGTGCGTCTTGGGTTTTCCGCCTAAAGAACTCCTTTTGGTTCGGATACGCCATGGCCACATTAGTGGTAGTGGTTGTTGTGAAAGAGTACTGTTAGTGTAGCACAGTAAGTACAATGAAGAGAGGGGCACGGAGGGAGATAAGAAGGAGTAGTTGGGGATTCATAAATGGATAATGGGTAATTCAGGATAGGTACATATCATTACTAGTTAGCATATTCAGAAACCTTCCTTATGAAGCATATCTTTATTTTTTTAATTTTATTTTTTTAAATCTCCAATTTATTTATTTTTTAAATTGTTAAAGGTGTAGCTTGAAGTTTATTGCAAAGTTTTTTGAATTCAAACTTTATTCTGTATCACTGTAAATATTTTGTGCACTCTTTGTATTCCAGGGCCTTCATCCTGTGGGCTTCCTAGAGGAATCATTTGTGTTATTTCAATGAGGTGCAAAGTGCAATGTTTATTTGCATACTTTCACAAACCATTAATGAGTCCTTTGATATAAAATAAACAGGACAAGAGTTAGCTAGTACATCCTAGACAGTTAGACACAGACTAGAATTTGCACTTGTTAGCTGCCATCAACAGTTGATGGTTCTAACTTCTAACTATTCGACAGCTAAAAATTAGTGGATGTGAAGAGCGTATTTATTATCTGTGTGATTGTTTTAATTTATCTGTTTAGGCAATATGAGCAGTTTTCAATTGTTTTTTGGATCTGTTATTGTGGCAACATGTATTTCTTTATCTATGCACAACACAAACTATATTGATTTGATTTATTTGTTGCGGTCATATTCTGACTAACTTGATGCATCGTACGTATACAATAATTACTTTGTTTCAAGAAATGTGTACATACTACTAATTACTTTGTTAGTTAGAAAATTTTAATAATGGCGTGTGACTACACTAAAGTTGTGTAATGAGTCTTTTATTGGTGATGTAATGGGGCAGTTATTGGTAGTATAATGAGTGATTTAGTTGGTGTTTATTTGGGTGGAATGTGTCTCTTAATTTGCTTTATTTCAGTTTTAGTTTTTGGCTTTATAAGAAGCTCGTGTCACGTTTGATGAAGTATTCAATAAAAGAAAAAGATTCCCTCTTCCAATATTGTGTGTTGTATTTCTATATTTTCTGCATCATATTTTTATAACATTAACCTCGTGGTTCCTTGGGATTTATTTGTGTGGTTCGTGGAATGGTGTCTGGCTTTGGTTTTCTTTACGGCCATATGGTTATTAGTGTAATTGAGAGCAAGTTGGGCAAATCGGTTACTCTCTTTAAATGCGATTGGTTTGATAACTCCTCACGTGGGACAAAAGTTGACCAGTATGGAAATATTGAGGTCAATTGGTCAAGGAGTTATGCACTTGGCTACGACCCATTTATACTTGCTTAACAAGCGGAACAAGTTATTTACGCATTATACCCTACTTCCCAACAAGGGTGGAGAGGAGTTATCAAAACCAAAGCCCAGAATATTATCCCTAAGTCGATGGAGTCAGACTCAAATGATGTGACTGATCCATTTCAGGATGATGGGGAACATGAACTGCCTATAAATGTTACAGAGGATGATGTGCCAAGCAATCTTTTTGATTCCACTGGAGAGTTACAACCCTGTCTTGTTATATTGGACAATGAGGAATCGGACGATGACGAACAAGATATTTATTCAGATAGTGAGCCTGAATTCGATGATTATGAGAGTCCAGAGGAAGGTGGGCAAGAAGAATTCGAAGAACAGGAATCATCCGATTGATTTCAGTTATTCTTTCTTTAAGCTTATCTGTTGTACTAAATAAATAATTTTTATTCACAGACCACATGTTATATGTATTATACAATTATGTTTTATATTTTTTATCTTTTAGGATCTCTATATGGTGTATGCATCCATTAGTGACAAATGGAAGGCCATAATGGTAGACGTCGTATTGCATACTTATTATATTTATATATATTTTTGCATTATGTTTATAAGTTTTCACAGATGGTTCATACGGATAGGCGTACTGGTAGTGATGGTAATGTCGGTAGAGGTCGAGTTACAGGCCGTGGTGGCAGAGGAGGTAGGACGACATCATTTACCCCCTTTGGTAAGTCGTACAACTTCCTCATCCCTCCCTCCACTTCGGATAGGATCATCACCATCTACCATCGACTTTGTTATGGGAAGTGCGTGTATTCCTCACACTCCCACTGACCCGATGGGGTCGACACAGCAGGTTAAGTAAACTATCATTTTGTGATTTAGATATATATTATAGGTTCTTTTAAGCATCTCTCTACTAACTTTTTTAATGCTTAACATTTTTTCCCTTTTGTAGGTTGCATCCCCTGCAAGCGAGGTAGGAGATGCTGCTTCGACACTTCATTTAGAGTGGGGGAGGTGTGATCCACAGACTAAACGTATATGGGTTCGTCCTTTAGGCACCACAGAGTAAATTGTAATTGTTACTAATGATGTACTAATGTGGCTTCTAGCATTGCTCAATCGTTATAATCAAATAAATTGATTTAATATTTTCAGGTTCGAACCTTATGATGAGATCATGGACTTCATTGATAATCAAATATTCCGTAATTTTAAACATGTATGGAGCACATGGAAAGACGTTCCTAAAGACACTCGTCTTGGTTGGATGAATGATTTCTTGGTAAGTTATGTATATCTCGTTAATGCTAATGTTTTATTACAAAAATGTATACTAACTACACATTTGTCACCAATTTGTGCGCTAATCGAAAAAATTGGCAATTTACAGAATCATTATAGGTGGTTGCCCGAGGATCGCCATAACCTGGCAAGAGCTTGGCATCACAGAGCCACGACAATGTTCGCAGATAAAATGCATAAAGTAAGATATGACATCGGCAAAAATGCATGGTGTAGTGAATCATTAAAAATCCAATTGAAAGAAAAATGGAAAAACTGTCCTAAGTTTCAAATGAGATCTGCTCAAAATAAGGAAAATAGGGCCAAGCAGGACACACACACATATGCTGGAGGGTCGATTCCAATCAGCAAGCATCGACAAAGGATAGTAAGTATAAATTGTTTTCTAGTTCGGTATTCAACAATTCGTACTTGCAACTAATGAATTAATGATTTTCCTTTGTATTTTCAGGAGGCTTCTAGAGAAGTGCCGCCTGAAAAGGTTGATTGAGCTACCTTCGAGCGAACTCATTCCCAACAGCCTGAAGCTGGTTAAAGGCGGTGGTTAGGTCCCAGAACGGAGCTAATAGCGGTTTGATCATTTATTATTTGACGTTTGTTTTTTCTATGATGATTTATGTCATGTTTTACATGTCCATATGTGTGCTGGTTTTCTTTACTTGCAAGAAAATTATCATAAACTTGAAGAGGAGAGGTCCGCACAGGCGGCGACAGACGGTCAATCCAGCTCCTCCTATTCCGATAATGGAAACATGTTGGTTACAGCTGCAGGTGGATTCAACAAGAAATGAAGGATGGTCGGGCTGGGAGGATATGCTAGCCAGCTAAAGCCTAGTAAGCGGCCCTCTACCCAGGTTGACAGTGTTTCTGCAGGTAAACTCAATGCATAGTTAATTCTTTTATGTTTTCAATTTCTATTCTATTAATATTTTATTTTAAACATTTAACTTACTGTTTTATAATAATGTATTTGCAGATGAGCTTAAAAGGATGAAGGTGTCCCACTCCCAGATTCATGAGCAATTGCATGCTGCGACAGAGCAGCTAACTCAGCAAGCGAACTTTATGAAGCAGCACGCTGACATTATGAAACAAATGCAGGAACAACTCCGACTTTTAATGCAGGACAAGGAAGCCAACTGCAACAAGTCGAAGGGACCGGCGCCGGATGATGACCCTGATGATGATGATGATGACTTTGCTAAGACTTTAGAGGCATACTAGTTGTTGTTTGTATGTTTTACTTCTTTTAGGACTTCAGAGATATATCAGATATTTTTTGTATGTTTTATTTTGTTTAGAACTTTAGAGACATTTTAGTTGTAGATTTGATGGTTGTTGTTGTTCACTTTTGTTGATATACTATTTAATTTTAATTTAATTGTTTATCCAGTATTTTTTTGGATTTCTGTTGCTCAATTTATGTATCTATGTTCAGTTGGAATCGTTGTTGTTTACAGGAAAATTAACAAAAGTTTAATATATTTTTTTATTTTTTTTTAATTTAATTCCAGAATTTGTGGCGGAATTTTCAAAACTCCCTTGCAAAATTCGTAGCCTTTTGCGAGGGAAAATCAAAATGTTCCCTTGCAAATTTTGCTACGAAAATTTAATACAGCCCTTGCAAATTCTGCTACGGAAATTTGCGAGGGAAATTGTACTCGCAATTTAAGACACAATCTGCGACGGAAAAACACTGTAGATAGGTCTGTTGTTCGCGAGGGAAATTTACTTTTTGCAAGGGAACTTTTCCGTAGCAATTTGCGAGGGAATTGTCATATGACAAATTTCCCTTGCAAATATATTTGCGACGAGGGTTTTAGCAAGGGATCGTGTTCCCTTGCAAATTCTGTCGCAGACAGTTTTTGCAAGGAAATTTTTCCCTTGCTGATTGTGAATTTTCTAGTAGTGATCAATGCTCTTCTCTTTTTGTTGTTGTCATTTTGTTATCATCAAAACATACCTTGTATCTACAGAATTACCACAATGAGACCACCATATTTTAGTCCCAACACTTATTGGTCCACATACATCAATATGTACAAATTCTAGTTGAATATTTGCACAAATCCCTTTGATCTTGTAAGATTACTTGGTCATTTTACCTTCCAAACAGAACTCACGTGTAAGATTTAGTTCAAAGACTAGGAAATTTTGCTTTTTTAACTAAACCAGATTTCCTATTTGAAAAATGCAAACACGTGACAAATGTTGGTTTTTGCACAAGTTGCGCATAGGCAACTTGAATGCACAATGCTAGTATGCACATCTTTTCACATTATTTCACATTAGATTAATAAGTCATTCGTCAAAAGAATTAAATCAGTGAAATGTTTCTAATTTTGCACTACATGGGTCTACCATTTTGAACTACATTAATGGAAGTTGAACAAATACAGAGATCCCATTAAAAAATAAATAAAAAATAGTCACGTATAAGTTATGGGGATATACTATATGTCAAGGCGTATAACATGAATCTTCCATTACACAAATCACTAGGCTTAGTCTATCTATAGTATCTTACATGTATTGTTAGAATGACATTTACATTATTTTGGAGAGAGTTGTTATCAATTATCAACCATAGTTTAGAATAGGGTAAGCATTGCTTTCATCAGGAGAGAAAAATTACATTTAAGCCTTTATTTTTTATTTCTTGATAACAATCATTTAGAGGAAACTCAGGAAAGTAGAAGGCACGTGCAGCCAACGCTAAAAGATTCCATGGCTTCTTTTTCAGGCTAGAACACAAAAATAAGTCTAAAATAGTGTGCCAACGTTTGTTGTTTCTTCTCTTTTCCCTAATGGTATTGATGAGTTAATTGATATTTGACTTGAAGTTATGTGGATGAAATAACTTCAAAACATTTTTCTCATTAGTGGTGCAAATGAAAATATTAGTGTTAGTTTTTTTTTTCCTTATCTTCTAACACTAGTTTAAACGTAAATACTTTTCATTAATTAAAGTGAAATAATGTATGAGACCGAATTCTATCATAAGGAAAATTCTAGAAATCTACTAATTAACTATAATAAAAATAACCCCCGACGTCAAATTTGAGCGTGAAGGGTATATACTAGATCATAAAATTGGATTGGTTCAATAATTAACGAGAAAGTATTAAACAAAACAAACGAATACTTGTGTAATTAATAGGGTGGTACATCAATTAATATAGGGATTTGCATTTGTCATTTAACATGACACAACAAATTTTTCTACACATATAACATTTTGTGAGGCCCACACTTTTTGAAGAAAAAAAAAAATTACAGCACGCAAAACGAATCTCTATAACATTACCACAATCACTTTTCCTGCAACATAACTCTTATAAAACCCATTAATATATCACTTCTGTTTTATCTTGCTAATTGTTATAAAACTCATATTAAGGAATCTTATGTGAATAATTTAAAAAGTAAGAAAGGGACAAAAAAATATTTGTGCGGGTGCGTGAGTGGGTATGTGTGTGCATATGCGTGTGTTGAAGAATTAAGTATAAGTGAATAAAGTTTTTTATTGATTAAGAATGAATTAAGTAAATATTACATAAGTGAAATGACTGGTACACTTAATCTGTTAAGGTTTTGAGTTGAGTTGTAATGTTTAAACTCACTTAATGTCATTGCTAACTTAATGCTAACTTAGGTCGTTGATGATGGTCTCTCTCCTATGAATTCCCCTTATAACATTAATAAAATTAAAAAAATAAAATAAAAAATCCTTTGGGTCTATGTATTTGAGGGGAGACAGTGACAGGACGCTTGGGAGGGTTGCCACTTGCAACTTTTAAAAAAGCATAAAGTCAATAAAAAAAAAAACTAAAAAATGGAGCCTCAATAGTATTGAGAAGAGGGAAAACAGAATCACCCACATGGATAAAGGGTAAGGCCCAAAAATTCATCCACTCAGGATGACAAACATTCATTGGTAAATTTTGCCTTTGTCAAAAAAAATCCTGACTTTCATGCTCTAACATATTGCTCTTTCCAACAACAAGGACTTACCTAACTACAATAATCACTACATTGGACCATCCTGTATTCTTTCTGTATCAAGCAAACTCTATTTACCACAAAATTTCCATCTTTCATCCATAAGCTGAACAAGTAAAAACAATTTATCACATGAAGAATTTTGCCTTCTCAGAAACCATTTTCTGCTGTCAATAATCTGTTGCAAGAGTGAGATATTGCAAAATGAGTAAAAGAGACTAAGACAGAATCAAAACATAGAATTAGCAATAGCATGAAGTATAAACTAAGGAAAAGATAAATGACCCATCATTTCTTATGGCCACATATATATATATATATATATAACTCTTACCATCATGTTTCTTCTTCAAATTCCTAGCAAATAGCAAGCATATAATCACAAAAGCCACCGCAGCTACCCCTCCTAATATAATAGCCACTGTTTTCCCTGGATTGTGCCCTGTCATTGCATCAATAGGCAAAATATCACAGTAATAAATTAAAATATGATTATACTGAGCAGAATAGCACCTTTAATTTGAACATTGGGACAAAAATAGGAAGGGGGCTAATGGTATTACAAAATGAACCTTCGTTTATGAAAAGGACAATGAAAATGACAGATTATTCAAAATTTAACATAAAGATATTAAATTTTGATACTTTTTTTTTCTCTCCCAATTTTTTGTTTCATTCATGCCTGTTTGGTTCAGTGTGAAACTGTGAACTTCTTTGGAAGTATTAGACATAATTATTACCTGCAGAAGATGAAAAGTATGAAGAAGATGATGCTGCAGATGAAGATGATCTAGTTGGAACCCCATTTGGGTAATAGTTAAAACTAATGAAGCACTTATGCAGAAAGACTTGGCCTGAAATAGAGCTACCACATTCAACTTCAGCTCTTTGCACAGCATTTTTCACACACTCTCCACAATCAGAATCACCAACATCTCCCTCACATTGCCCCATGACATACACAGATTGGTAGCTAGTTGTGTAAAAACCATGACCACTAACCACCCCATTTTCCATCACTGAGAATGCAGTGTCTCTTCTCTCTTCAAAACCACTTCCAGCAGCATTTGTCCCACCACAAGTCTTGTACAGCATCTGCATACCTGAGATTTGTGAAAAACCAGCAACCTCATAAAGCATATAACAACCTTGTAGTTGAACTCTGGCAGCTATGGTTTTGCCACATAGTTTGTCAGACAAAACTGGGAGTCTGCTAACACAGTTGTAGCAATCAGAATTGCTGAGATCCCCTCTACATTGGAAGAGACCAGTTATGCTGCTTTGGCCACTACCAGAAGTGGCCTTATAGAACTTGGTTTTGGTGGATTGTGAAACCAATGAACCAAAGAGTGTAGAAAGTGCTTGTGAGTATACCCCATTTGGATCTGTAAAAGTCTCCTTTGAGCAACCTTTGTAGACTAAAGTAGAGTAATCAGAAGCAGATTCTGCAAGATGGGGTGCCTTCAGATTTGTGAACAAAACCAGGAAAAAAGAAAGGAATATGGGTTGTCTAGCAAAACCCATTTAGCTCTCTCTCTGTGTGTGTGTGTGTGTGTGTGTGTTATTGAAGGGTTAAATCATGGCAATTTTGGGGGAAACCCTTAAAGTTGAAAGGGGGATTGTGAGTGTTATAAGAGAAATCAAGAATTTTGGTAGATTCTTTGAATTTTCTACTACTTTTTGGCTGAATCAGGAGCCAAAAGGATTTGCTTCTGTGGTTGAGTGACTCAGAGTTCTGGTTTAGTGGTCCTAGGGTGTGTTGGGTTTAGGATACCCTACAATACAACCACAGTAGATGTGAACATGGATGAGTTGCATCTACCATGTCTCTCTCTCTCTCTCTCTGTACTGTGTATAATGTATAAAGTTACAAAAGAAAGTATAATTTTGAAAATGGTGTACTGTCTATTTAGATGAATTACCAAACTCAAGCAATTTTAAAATAAAATATATTCAAATAATGCAGTTTGTAAATATAATATTAATTTAATGCATTAAATCTTGCACCACATGCATGCGAGATTGGTCCTTGCCATGAGTTGCCCTTATATATTTTTGAAAATAAATTAGTTATAGTTTCAATAAGGGGTTTAAACTTTTCATTTTCTGACAGACTCATGGGAAGAAGTGTTTTTTTTATTTTATTTTTTAATAAAATAATGGAACTATTTTAAAATAGAGAAATAATAGTCGCATGTTGTAGGAGACTAGTATCTTAGGTCATAGACATTTCGATAAGTGTGTTGCTATTTTCTTTTCTTTTCTCTTTTTTAGTGTGGGTTCCATCATTTTGTGTCTTAGCATAAGATATGTTCCCACTTACAACATGAGAGTAGAGAAATCTAAATATGGGTCTACATTGGAAATTTCACTCACATAAGAAGTGATTTCTCCTTTAAATAATAGTTAATTTCGTATCAGTCCTGCGTGAAAAACATGTAAGATTAGTTTTGTGAAATTAATCATGCTTAGTTGTGGTTAATTTTTTTCAAAATAAATTTATTATCTTATCATTTTGTGACGCGTGACAGTTGCACATAAAAGATGTGCGGATTAGTTCCGTATTAATAAACATTAGTTTAGATTTTTTTTCGTTCTTTTAAATTGCATCAAATGGGTCGTTCACCTTCACCCTCTATTTTTTTATTGCAAGAGAATTAAAACAATGGTGTATGAATTAATTAACTCTTGAAAGGTGGGAGGAGAAAACATTCCCCATCTGGTGAAGATTTTGGAGGGCATGAACGGAAAGGAATCTGATTATGACTGAAGTACATGATACTTGAAGATTTGAAGTCGTGTAAGCACACGTCATGCTTGTACTCTTATTTTATATACTGTTGAACCTTGTTATTATAGGGTTAGAGCACATGGAGGGATTAAGGACATGCCAAGAAAGAGGTGCCACTTTTTTAACACCATGCATGGGAGAGAATTTATTCTGGTCTGAGACCACCATTTTTTAGGTGGTTTTTTAGTGTAAATGGAAGGGTAGAATTGAAAAAGAAAAAAAATAATAGAAGTAGAAAAGAAAAGAAAAAATTAGTATTGTGAGAGGGAGCACCAAATCATTAGGTGATTCTGGAGCATATTAAATGTTTTCCATGCATGGACCCTAAATTTTTCTAAATAAATAATTTGCAGGAAAATTTCATAACAAATTGTTGAAATATGAGGAAACTTTTGTTGCAAGAGTGTATGTGCATTCATGTTAAAAGGGAAAAGATTTTTGGATTTAAAAGAAGGGTTTTATTAATTTCATGTTAAAGGAGATACATTATCTCATGTCATAGAAATAAACTTGTGGGTTTCACCACCTGAAAAAAAAAGTGGCACGGTTATTAAAGAGTGTGTAGAAGAGAAAACTTATCTCATGCAATATGAGAATATTTTTTCTCTTAAAAGAAATTATAAAAGAAAATATGGGTAAAGATAGAAAAAAAATTCACATTTTATTAAAATGGAGTATCAAGTTCGGTATACCCGTAACACTAAAAAAAAATTCTATACATGGGAGATCTTCAAACCACGGATAATCAATACAACTACAAGGCACTGAACAATTTTCTGTACTTGGTTGCACAAACTCTGAATAAAAACAGAACTATTTGTTTACATCTTTATTAAGTAACTATCTTTCTATTATTATTCCTTAAAAAAGAAACTGCATACTACATAAAGGTTTGGGTAGCTATGAATCAAGGATTGAAAGTTGACAATTTGAAAAGTATAATGTAGGTTATATGGCACCGTGCGGTTGTCAGATTGAAGCGAATTCATTGCAGACAAATTTGAGTGAACTAGTAAAAGCCGTGACTCATTATGCATTATATCATGAATATTTATGGGAAAACTAGGGTTATGTTACTGAAAACATAAATATTTCCGGTTGACACAAAACAATTGATGGCCCACATGTGTTTTTTAAAAAAAAAATAGGAAAAAGAAAGCACAAAAATCAATGTATTAGCTGGACAAATTTGTGGTTTTGATGTAACAGGACCGTAGTTTAACCTAATATTTATTGGGAAATGTTATACTTATTACCTATTTTTCTTACTACTTGTTACTACCAAATCTTAACCGTTGATTTTCGTAAATCTAACGGTTGTAATTTATTACAAATTAATAATTAGTTAATAAGTATGATCCCATAAATTACAATCGTTAAATTGACGAAAATCAACGGTTAAGATTTAGTAGTAACAAATAGTAAGAAAAATAAGTAGTAAGTATAACATTTCCCCTTATCTTATTTATACTTTTAGATATATATATATACTTTTTAAAATTTGATCTAAATTTAAAAATATTCCAAAAGAAAATGAAATACTTCATAATTATATATAGAGATAGGTTATTCTACCTATTTCTTTTTCTGCCTATCTTTACCTATCCATCTCTAACACCATTACAGGTGTAAATGGGCTAGACCGGCCTAGCCTATATTAGGCCAGACTTGACCTATTATAAATAGTAAAATAGAACAAACTTAAGCTTTTAAAAAAATCTATTTAGAAAAGAAGTTATAGGCTTTTTTTGTATATTTTGGACCTATAAGCCTATAGGTCAGCCTATATCATATTATTTATTTTAAATAAAATAAAAAAATATTATTTTAATAATTTTGAATAATAAAGTAATATTATTTTAATTATTATTTATTGTTGAATGTTTAATAGGTTTAAACATGCTAACAAGCCTAGGTCAAGATTTTTATTTTTTAAATATAGGTCAGACCAAACTTGTAATTTGCGGCCTACACAGGCTAACAGGTCAGGTCAGACTCAATATTTTTACACAGACCTGACTTATTTAAGCCAAAGTCTAGCCTAACCTAGCCTATTTACACCTCTAACTAGCATGATATCAAAATCTGAACTATCTTTATCATTTTTCTCTATTGAGATTCTAATATGATGATATTGGAAAATAATTGACAATAATATGAAGAAAAAAAATCTATACAATAATTTATCCTAAATAAATATGAGGAAAGATATTTTTACTACCAAAATTTTCTACTACTAACTTACTACCTATCTAATCACCATTGAATCAAAGAGAGAGAAAGCTAAAAAGTTTTTGAAAAAAGAGAAAATATTGATCCAATGGTGTTTAGATAGGTAGTGAGTTGGTAGTAGAAGATTTTAGTAGTAGAAGATTTTAGTAGTAAGAATATCTCTCCTCTCTAAAAAAAACAGAAGTCAAAAGTCAAATATTTTTTTCAAAAATTAAATTTTTTTATAAAAGTATAAATAACTTTAACTTTTGTAAAAAAGACTTCTAAAAGAAAGAAAAGATAAAAATTATTTTTTTTTAGAAAGGGAAAGAAACGGACAGTTAATCTCTTATGAAACTGCGGTACACAGATCCGTTTAACATAAAATGGGCACGGATACCCATGTTATAATGGGTATATTTTTTAAGGGAAATGTATTTCTATTATTGTTTCAAAAGAAAATTTAACATAAAAAGTCAAAATATATATGTCGATCTTGATTTTAAGAAAATAAAAAAATAACTATAGGGCTCACTTTTTCTTGTGTCTGCTGTACCTTATAACTCACCTTTTTCCCTTTTTCTTGCAATCCTTTGCTCGTTCACTAGTTAACTTTTACTGATATGATCCATTGGTTAATTCACTTTATTTTCCTCGTATTCTATGTATCTTCTCTTTTGGGCAGAGCAAACACCATAAATTGTCAATAATTAAAGATATCATTGTGTTGGCATTCATTACATATATATATATATATATATATATATATATATATATATATATATATGGGGTTTATATTTGTCATTTAACATAACACAATAAATTTTTCTACACTCACAATATTTTGTGGGGCCTACATTTTTTGAAGAAAAAAGAAAGAAAGAAAATTACGGCACGTAAAACAAATCTCTATAACATTACACAATCACTTTTCCTATATTATAACTCTTATAAAATTCTATATATATATGGGGCAGGATATTCTTACACCGGTGTAAGAGTTAGAAGTCTTACACTCAATCTTGACCATTGATCCACTTCTATCCAATGGCTCACATTTTTAAAAAATTTGAGCCTTTAGATATAAGTTGAATCAACAGACAGGATTGAGAGTGTAACTTACACCGGTGTAAAATGATCCTGACTCATATATATATATATATATATATATATATATATATATATATATATATAGGAGGTCCTTTGACACCGGTGTCAAATTTGAAGTTTGACACCTCATCTGAGAGCCGTTAGATCAAAAAAGATCAACAACTTTGATTTGTAAGCATGTGATACCATTGATCTTTTTTGATCTAACGGCTCTCAGATGAAGTGCCAAACTTCAAATTTGACACCAGTGTCAAAGGATCCTACCTCTATATATATATATATATATATATATATATATATAGGGAAAAACATTTCTCAAGCAGCTTGAAATAAGTTTATCTCCTGCTACCCAAAACTATGTCGTTTTATTTATTTATATAGGGCTTTATTTCCGACTATAGTAAAACATAAC